GAATAGGATAGATCAAACAGAAGAAAGAATCTCAGAGATTGAAGATAGCACCTTTCAATTAAATAAGTCAGTTGCAGAGATAGAGCAGAGAAATAAGTGAAAAGATCGAAGCCTACAAGAAATGTGAGATTATATGAAGAGGCCTAACATGAGAATTATAGACATCTCTGAGGGTGAAAAAAAACAATATGCAAGTGTTGGATAACTATTTGAGTATATAATGAAGGACAATTTTCCTGGCCTTGCTAGAAATCTAGATATTCAGGTACAAGAAGCTCCAAGGACTCCTGGGAGATTCATTGCAGATAGGAAGACACCACAATACATAGTCATCAGACTGGCCAAAATAAACACAAAAGAAGTGCTCCTATGAGCTGTAAGGTGAAAGAAGCACGTAACCTACAAAGGAAAACCCATCAGACTAACTGCAGACTTCTCAACTGAGACCTTACAAGCCAGAAGAGACTGGGACCCCATTCTCAGTCTTCTCAAACAGAATAATGCCCAGCCTAGAATCTTGTATCCTGCAAAACTAAGTTTCTTATATGAAGGAGAAATAAAGACCTTTTCAGACAAACAAAGACTGAAGAAATTCATAAAGCAAGATCTGCCCTCTAGAAAATACTCAGAACAGTGTTACACATGGATCAGCACCATAAACAGTGTAAAATCATCCAAAAGTTGAAGGTCAAAGTCCAGATACCACAATGGCTCAAGAGAGAAAACAAAGCAACAAATTCTAACTCAATAGGATGAACAGAAATCTGCCCACTTATCAATTATTTCAATAAATGTTAATGGCTTGAACTGCCCACTAAAGATATGTAGGCTGGCCAAATGGATAAATACGCAAGCCAAGTATCCAGTGTCTTTAGGAAACATATCTAACCTGCAAGGATGCATTCAGATTCAAGGTGAAGGAATGGAAAACAATATTCCATGCAAATGAAAGCCAAAAGGAAGCTGGAATAGCAATTCTTATTTCAGATAACTTATTCTTCAAGTCAACAAAAGTAATGAAAGACAAAGATGGTCACTATATAATGGTGAAGGGTACAATTCAACAAGAAGACATAACACCTACCTCAGGTGCACCCAGATTCATAGAGCAAATCCTACTTGATCTAAACAAAATGATAAACAGCAGCACCATAATAGCTAGAGACTTCAACACTCCTCTGACAGAACAGGACAGATCCTCCAAACGGAAAATATATGAAGAAACAATGGACTTAAACAGAACTCTAGAACAAACGGGCCTGATTGACATTTACAGAGCATTCTATCCAAAAAACACTGAATATACATACGTTTTTCTTATAAACTCATGGGACATTCTCTAAAATTGACCATATGCTAGGCCACAAAGCATGTCTCAAGAAATTTTAAAAATAGAAATTATACCATGCATCTTCTCAGACCACAGTGGAATAAAATTAGAAATCAACTCCTACAGAAACTTTTACCTCTACGCAAGGTCATGGAACCTAAACAACCTTCCACTGAATGATTATTAGGTTAAGGAGGAAATTAAGATGGCAATCAAAAGACTCTCTGAACTAAATAGTAAATGAGACTGAAGTTATCAAAATCTGTGGGACACAGCTACAGCAGTCCTGAGAGGAAAATTTATATCCATAAAATGCCTACATCCAAAAGACAGAAAGATCACAAATCAACAATCTAATGAATCATCTCAAAGAACTGGAAACGGATGAGCAAACCAACCCCAAACCCAGAAGAAAATAAATAACAAAGATCACAGCAGAACTAAATGAAATTGATAACAAAAAAAACTATATGAAAGATTGATAAAATAGAAAGTTGGTTCTTTAAAAAGAAAAACCAAAATTGACACTCCTCTTGCTAGATTAACATGAAGCAGAAAAGAAAGAACTCTAATAAGCTCAATCAGGAATGAAAAAGGAGCCCCACCCCATGGCAGCAATGATCCATTCAAATGGTTGCCCTATCAAGTTTTGATGGTAGTTGCTGTGAAAAAAAAGAAAGAAAGAAAATGAAAAAGGAGAAATTATAACTAATATCATGGATATACAAAATATTATCTATGAATACTATAAAAAACCTCTATGCATATTTTCCTAATTTCCTAATTTCCATATTTTCCTAATTCCATATTTTCCTAAACTGGAAAATATGGAGGAAATGTACAAAATCTTAGAAACACACAGCCTCCCTAGGCTCAAACAGGAAGAAATAGAATTCCTGAACACACCAATATCAAATACCAAAATTGAAGCAGCAATAAAAATCCTTCCTAAGAGAAAAGTTCCAGTACAGATGGTTTCACATCAAATTTTGCCAGACCTATAAAGAAGAACTGGTGTCTATCCTGTAGAAATTATTTCACAACATTGAGAAGGCAGGAATCCTCCCTAACACAATTTGTGAAGCCAACATCACCCTGATATCAAAACAAGGAAAGGATACAACAAAAAAAAAGAAAACTACAGACCAATATCCCTTATGAATACAGATGCAAAAGTTCTCAACAAAATCCTAGCAAACCAAATTCAGGTGCTTATGAAAGAAATAATCCATCAGGACCAAGTGGGTTTAATCCCAGAGATGCAGGGATGGTTTAACATATGCAAATCTATAAATGTAATTCAACACATAAATAGAAGTAAAAATTAGACTATATGATCCTCTCAATAGATGCAGAAAAAGCATTCTACAAAATTCAGCACCCTTTTATGATAAGCATGTTTAACATAATAGGCATAGAGAGTATTTACTTAAAAATCATAAAAGCCATATATGGTAAACTCAGAGCCAACTTCATACTGAATGGAGAAAAATTTAAAGCATTCCTGCTTAGAACTGGAACCAGACAAAGTCGCCCTCTATCACCACCTTTATTCAACATAGTGGTATAAGTCCTAGCCAGAGCTATCAGATAAGAGAAGGAAACGAAGGGCATCCAAATGGGGGCAGAGGAGGTCAAACTATTGTTCTTTGCTGACAATATGCTCTTATATCCAGAATACTCCAAAGATTCTGCCATGAGACTACTGGAATTGATAAACAAATTCAGCAAAGTCTCAGGTTACAAAATGAATGTACAGAAATCAGTAGCATTCCTATATGTCAACAACAGTCAAACTAAGAATCAAATCAAAGACTCAATACCCTTCACAATAGCAACAAAGAAAATAAAATACCTAGGAATATGTTTACCTAAGGAGGTAAAAGACCTCTACAAGGAGAACTATGAAACACTGAGGAAGGAAATAGTAGAGGACATAAACAGGTGGAAAGCCATACCATGCACATGGGTCTGCAGAATCAACATTGTTAAAATGTCTATACTATCCAAAGTGATCTATACAGACTTATGTAAATATTATTAAAATACTATTAAAATTAAAATACTATTAAAATTAAAATACTATTAAAATACTAACATCATTTTTCACAGATCTAAAAAAAATAATTCTATACTTCATATGGAACCAGAGAAGATACCAATAGCAAAAGCAGTGTTAAGCAAAAAGAACAAATTGGTAGGCATCAATTTGCCAGACTTAAAGCTATACTATAAGGCTAGAGTAACTAAAACAATGTGGTACTGGCATAGGAACAGATCCATAGACCAATGGAACAGAACTGAAAACCCAGATATAAAACCATCCTCAAATAGCCATATAATCTTTGACAAAGCAGAGAAAAACATACACTGGGGAAAAGCATCTTTATTCAATAAATGGTGCTGGGGACATTGGATAGCCACATGTAGAAGACTAAAATTGGATCCTCACCTCTCAGAAAAATCAACTCATGGTGGATAAACAGACTTAAACCTAAGGCATTAAAGTATAAGAATTATAGAAGAAAATGTTGGAGAAACTCTTATAGACATTGGCCTAGGGAAAGAATTTATGAAGAAGACCCCAAAGGCAATCACAGCATCAACAAAAATAAATAAATGGGACCTGATCAAATTAAAAAGCTTCTGCACAGCCAAGGAAACTATCACAACAGCAAACAGACAACCTACAGAATGGGAGAAAATATTCACCTGCTAAACATCTGATAAAGGGCTGATAACTAGAATCTATATAGAACTCAGGAAAATCAGCAAGGAAAAATCAAACAACCCTATCAAAAGGTGGGCAAAGGAAATGAACAGAAACTTTCTAAAAGAAGACAGATTAATAGCCAACAAACATATGAAAAAATGCTCAACATCTCTAATAATCAGGGAAATGCAAGTCAAAACTACAATGAGCTGTCACTTAATTCTAGTGAGAATGGCTTTTAGCAAAAAGTTCCAAAACAATAAATGTTTACATGGATGCAGAGAGATAGGAACTCTCATACACTGCTGGTAGGACTGCAAACTAGTACAACCTCTATGGAAAGTAATATGGGGATACCTCAAAGAGCTCCAAGTAAAATTACCATTTTATCCGGCAATCCCATTACTGGGCATCTACCCCAAAGAACAAAAGACATTTGCACTAGAATGTTTATAGCAGCACAATTCACAATTGCAAATATGTGGAAACAACCCAAGTGCCCATCAATGCATGAGTGGATTAATAAAATATGGTATATGTCTACCATAGAGTAATACTCAGCCACAAAAAACAAAGGTAATCTAGCACCTCTTGTATTATCCTGGATAGAGCTGGAACCCATTCTACTAAGTGAAGTATCACAAGAATGGAAAAACAAGCACCACATGTACTCATCATCAAATTGGTATTAACTGATCAACACAATGTGCACATATAGTAGTAACATTCATCGAGTGTCACGCAGGTGGGATGGGGGAGGAGGATATGGGTACATTCACACCCAATAGGTGTGGTGTGCACCATCTGGGGGATGGACACGCTTGAAGGGGTGAGGCAAAGGTAGTATCTGTAACCTAAACATTTTACCCCTGTAATATGCTGAAATTTAAAAAAAAAAAATGGTTCTCATAAAGTAACATGAAACCTAGCCTTATTTCAGTGTAAATGACTGACAGCCCACAGGGTATTTCACTGCCCAAAACCGCCACTACCTACAATTCACTGTCTCCAAGGATACAGTGAATGTATCCTTGAATACTGAATTCCATACAGCATACTATGGAACACTCAGAAAAGCCATATTCTATAAAGGAATGATGTCTTGAACTGCAGAATTTTATGAATCAGTCAGCCTGAAAGAAGGACTATATGGGTCCGAGAGGGATTTTATACTTCTGACCACAGCAAATAAGTGACTATCTAAAGTCAGTACCAGCATATTCCTATAAGAAGGGGCAGAAATTGTTTATATCTATGGTATGAATTCAATTTCCTCTCCTGCAAAATAGTAATAATAATAATGTGGGTCTCATAAGCTTGCCATGAGAATTAAGTGAAATAATGAATGGGAAGCCCCTGGCACATAGTAAATAATCAATACATGTTAGCTTGTTAGCTCTCTTCTTTGCCTTCCCTTCATTTATTCACCCATTCAATTAATATTCAATGAACCAGCTTCTTTCCAGATTTGAATCACTTCCCAGTGGTGATGTGAGTTAGTGCTCCGGGACATGCCTAGTCTCCTCCAGGCTAGTAGGATACAATTTAGTACCCTTTAGCATAATGCACTAATTGGTCCCTTAGTGACCTGAAAGAGTTAATGCATTATTGTAGGATTTAATCTACCACTTCCTGACAAAATGAGTTTTAGCATTTTTTATACATAAATTCCCTAGAATTATAGTACACAAATTCTCTCTCTCTCTCTCTCTCTCTCACACACACACACACACACACACACAGGGACACACTGCAACTCCCCAGATCAGTAAGAGAGGTTAAAGGACAGAATTAAAATTGTCCATTTAGAGTTTACTGAGTACTTTTTTCTGATCACAAAAGCAGCACATTGCAAGAAATCTGAAAAATACATAAATCCATATAAGACGCAAATTTTTCATAATCTTATAATCCCCCCAAAATGGTTCTGAGGAAACACTGTAAGCATTTTATTTTCTCCCAAACTTTTATGCTATTATATAACACATATTTTATAATTCATATACTGTCACAAAGACTTTAGGTATTGTGTTGTTTTATAATTAAAATTCTATCATTAACATTGTTCAAAGTCACTGAAAGTGACTAAAATACTTCAATAGCACTTCATATTCCATCATATAGACATTCCATCATTTATTTAGCTGTGAGTCTATATGGGGCAGTGGTCCCCAGCCTTTCTGGCACCAGGGACCAGTTTCATAGAAGACAGTTTTTCCATGGATGGGGGATGGGGATGGGGGTGGGGGTGGGGGTGGGAGTGGGAGGCAGAGATGAGGAGGTGATGTGAGCCTTGGGTAAGGGAGCAGGTGTACATACAGATGAAGCTTCACTTGGTCACTGGCTGCTCACCTCCTGCTGTGCTGCCAGGTTCCTAAGTTTCATGGAAGGCTCGTGGGGGGTGGGGGGTTTGTGGAGGTGGTGGGAGGCAGAGCTCTGTGGCCAGGTTAGTAACAGGCCACAGACTGAACCAGTCCATGGCCTGGGGGTTGGGGACCACAGTATTGGGGTACATGTGGATAATTTTCTTTTTGTTTCTATTATAAGTAATATTAAGACATACCATTTCATAAATATATTTTTAAATGCATTTCTGTTATTGCCTTAGACTCAATTCCTATCAGTGAAATTATCAGATAAAAAAGTACATATATGTTGAAGGCTCTTGGTGAAGATCGTCAAATTGCATTGCATAAACCAGTGGTGTTAGATAATCCTCTTTTCCCCACACACTGGCCAGCTCTCAGTATTTACACTAAACAATCTGTGTTAATCTGATGGGTAAAACAATAGATAATATATATATATATACATATATATATATTACATTTTATCTCTTTTCATTTGCATCAGAATGATTGCTAATGAGATTGACCATGCATTCCTATTTATTATCCATTTGTTCTATCTGTGCTGGGAATTGTAGGTTTATGTTTTTGCCTATTTTTATTAAGCATATAGAGGTTTTATTATCAGTTATATAAACTCATTATATATTAACATTTTCCTACTGTTTTATTATACTATTATATAATTTTTATATATATTATATAATATATATATTTAATTTTTTATTTTTAATTTCTGAAATATGTACTCCAGAGAAAAGAGCCATAGACCTGAAGCAAAGTGAAGGTATTTTTCTTGTTAATAAATATGTCCCATCGAAATATTAATATCAATAATGCATAACCCCCTCATTTGCTTTTAAAATTTTATGATGTTTTTGACACAGAGTTTTTAGTTTTAAATATTAAAATCAATCTTTTCCTTTGCAATTTAGTCTACTGTCTGTATGCTTAGATCGTCCTTTCCCATTTAGGATCAGGTAAATGTTTATCAAAAGTTTCTTCTGGTTTCTTAAAATTGTTTCATTTTTCATGTTTCACTTTTTAATTCATTTACTTTGTTGTATAGCAAGAATATAAATAGATCTCTTTTAAACATATTTTTCAATACCATTCATGAAATCCTTTTTAATATTAATTTCCAATTAAAATCCATGCATGTACTATATATTGCAATTCTATTCATTTGCCTATATATTGGTTCATTTTGCATTTTGAAGTCTAATAGTTCTGCTCATTCCCCTACTCACCCTAAAGAAACCTTACTTTTCAAAAATTTTTGTATCTATTGTAGACTACTCATTCCTTCAGAATAAATTCTAGAATTATTTTGTCAAGTTCTCAAAAACTCCATTGCATACAAATTCCTGATCTATTTGCTTTCTCAATATTCTTTTCTTTTTTCTTCCTGTTAGTAGAGCCCCTGTTTTGTTCAAGAGAAGAATGGCCATAGCCTCAGGCTCCACTATAATTAGACTGAACAAGTAAACCCATTTTGGTTGGTCAATGAGGTAGTAGTGGTTTAAAAATATGTCCACAAATTCTTTGGTACTTCTCCCTTCAAAATGTGGAAGTGATTGCCTTAGTCTATTTTGTGCTACTATAGTAAAATACCTGGGAGCCAGGCATGGTGGCTCACGCCTGTAATCCTAACACTCTGAGAGGCCAAGGCAGGAAGATCACTTGAGGTCAGGAGTTCAAGACCAGCCTAAACAACAAGACCACATCTCTACTAAAAAATAGAAAAGAAAAAAGAAAATTAGACGAGCAACTAAAAATAGGAAAAAAATTAGCCAGGCAGGGTGGCGTGCACCTGTAGAGCCCAAGAGTTTGAGGTTGCTGTGATCTAGGCTGATGCAAAGACACTCTAGCCTGAGCAACAAAACAAGACTGTTTCAGAAAAAAAAAAAAAAAATTATATTAAACATAGAGAAACGAAATACCTGGGACTGGGTAATTCATAAAGAACAGAAATTTGTTTCTCACAGTTGTGGAGGCTGCAAGTCCACAATGAAGGCACCAGCATTTGATGATGGGTGAATGCCTTCTTGCTGCAACCTCACATGGCAGAAAGCAGAAGAGCAAATGAACCAGCTAACTGAACACTGTGAAGTTTCTAAGGGTCTTAATCCCATTCAGGAGGAGGAAGCCTTCATTGCCTAATCACCTTTCAGCCTTTGCCCTACCTCTTAACACTATCACATTGGCAACACCTGAATTTTGGAGGGGCTACATTCAAACCACAATGTTAGTCTTATGAAGCAAGTTCATAAAATAATGTGATTTCTGCCTTGCTGCCTCTCAGGTCCCTCCCTTGCTCTGAGGGAAGCTAGCTGCCATGTAAGAACACAACCTGGAGACTATGGAAAGGTCATCCTGGCAGTGAACCACCTGAGAAGCGGATTCCCCAGCCTCAGTCATACCTTCAGATGATTGCAGCCCTTGCCAACATCCTCACTGCAATTTCAAGACAGACCCTGCACCAGACCCATGTAGCTAAGCCTTGGTGGAATTCCTGATCCATAGAAGTTGGAAAATAATAATTTTTTTGGTTTTTGTTTTAATCTTTTTTATTCCCTGCAGTATTGCTGTTGCTATTGTTGTTGTCTTACCACTGATTTTGAGGGTTATTTGTTCCACAGAATAATTAATACAGAAATGTAAGCAGAAGTCGCCTGAGGCTCTTTACTTTTCCTTATAAACAGGAAATTTATAGCTGAAATCACCCTCCTCTTTTTCTTCTTTTACTTCTTGAATGCAGATGTGATGCCAGTAGTATAGCAGCCATCTTGCAACCATGAAGCAACAGCATGAGCGTGAAAGCTGGTGCATTAAGGATGATGGAGCAGAATAATGAAGGCCAGATGCCTAATGGCATTGCAGAACAGCTGAAACAATACCAGCAACTAGCTGGTAAATATGTCTTAAACCCAGCAAATATGTCTCTCTCATTATGTGAGAAAAATAAACACAATGTTTGAGCTACTCTCAGCCAATTAGTTATTGCTGCCAAATGCATTCCTAACTGATATTTGGTGTCAGATATCGCCACATGGTCAGCACAGAGCTAGGCATTTTGTGAATATGCTCAATGTGATTTTAAAGTAATGAATGACAACTTTTAACAGCTCTTAAACAATAAGAAACACATGTAGGGCCGGGCGCTGTGGCTCACGCCTGTAATCCTAGCTCTTGGGAGGCCGAGGCGGGTGGATTGCTCAAGGTCAGGAGTTCAAAACCAGCCTGAGCAAGAGCGAGACCCCGTCTCTACTATAAATAGAAAGAAATTAATTGACCAACTGATATATATATAAAAAAAATTAGCCGGGCATGGTGGCACATGCCTATAGTCCCAGCTACTTGGGAGGCTGAGGCAGAAGGATCACTCGAGCCCAGGAGTTTGAGGTTGCTGTGAGCTAGGCTGACGCCAGGGCACTCACTCTAGCCTGGGCAACAAAGCGAGACTCTGTCTCAAAAAAAAAAAAAGAAAAAGAAAAAGAAACACATGTAGACTTCCTCCCAAAACTTAAAGTTTGTAGAAATAATGAAAAGCGAATTAATAAATGACAGCAGAATTTAGATTACCTCAGGGAAAAATGCTTCAGAATATTTAGCATATGAACAGACTCCCTGTTGCAGCACATTTTTTGTGCTGATGTAGATTACCCAGTGATCAAATAGCCTGCAATCGGGTATTGATCACAATTCTTCAAAATGCCCATGAAACATGAATAGAGTGAAAAAATGTTTTATTTTTATTTAAATTCTAACATCCCACATTGTAAAGCAACTCTGCACATCTTTTAGAGAATAATTTAGACCAGCTATCCTCAAAACACTGTGCATACATAAATTCTCTGTCACCACTATTCCCAGTGAGGTCATCCACATATTTGGCTCTCTCAGGACATCATTTAAGCTTCTAACACAAAAATTCATGTTTTTAAAAAATGTTTAACTTAACTATTATGTTTTACAATGTATAGTCTTAAAATGGTACCTTCATACAGCTACCAGAAGAACTAAAATGTAAAAGGCACAACATCAAGTAATGGTAAGAGTGTACAGCCAGATTCTTAAACCAGAATGTTAATTGCTATCATCATCACATTAGAAAACTATTTAGTATTTACTAACACAGAACATATGCATACTCTTTGGCCCATCAATTTTACTCCTAAGTGTACAACCAACAGTAATGGTGCATATGTTCGATAAAAGATACGTACAAGAATGTACATAGCAATATCATTCATAATAGGCAAAAACTATAAACATTCCAAATATTCATCCACAGTACAAAGGATAAATGAACTGTGCATGTTCACCCAATGAAATATTGGAGCAATGAGAATGAATGAACTATTGCTACAGCAACAACGCTAATGATGCTTACAACCATGATGTTGAAGGAAAGAAGCCAAACCAAAAGAATACATGTTGTACAATTCCATTTATTTAAAGGAGCTTTTAAAAACAAACTGATCTGTGATAGAAATCAAAATCGTGGTTATCCTTGTCAGATAGTAATTGTAAAGTAGCATGGGTTGAGCAGGTGGTGCTAGCGTTCTTGTAATATTCTATTTCTTCACCTGGGAATGCTCAATTTGTAGTTTGTAAAAATTCATCAAGGCACATTTTTCCATAGATGATGTGTTATACTCAAAAATGATGCCATTTTTTTATGGTTTCATTTTTAAGTAAAGTATAACATATATATGGAAACCATAAGAAAATAGCATCATTTTTAAGTAAAGCATAACATGTCATCTATGGAAAAATGTGCCCTGATGAATTTTTACAAACTACAAAAGCAAAGATGTAGAAACAATCCAAGTGCCCATCAATACATGAGTAGATTAACAAAATGTGGTGTACATATATACCATGGAGTACTACTCAGCCATAAAAAAAGTGATAAACTACCTCTTGTATTATCCTGGATGGAGCTGGAGCCCATTCTTCTAAGTGAAGTATCACAAGAATGGAAAAACAAACACCACAAGTACTCACCATTAAACTGGTACTAATTGATCAACACTAATGTGTACCTATGGGAAATAACATACATAGGGTACCAGGTAGGTGGGAGGGGGGAGGAAGGGATGGGTAAATCCACATCTAACTACGGATGTGGTGCACTGTCTGGGGTATGGGCACGCTTGTCGGCCAGTGCAAAGGCAATTCATGTAACCAAAGCATTTGCAGCCCCATAATACTATGAAATAAAAAAAAAAAATCTAAAAAAAATGATGCCATTTTTTCCCATTTCTTCCTGCAGTATAATTTTTTAAATGTATTATATTTAAGTGGTTATATGAAGCAGGTAAAATTTGTGACTCACAGAAAATTTTACTTCAACAAACCAAAGGCAGAAAAAACTGATAACCACTGTTCTAAATCAAATCAAACAAAACAAAACAAAACAATGGTTGTGCCAACTGGTCCAGAAAAGACGAAAGGCTGAGGCAGTATGTTTCTGCGTGGAGGACATATAAATAATATCAGCAGTTTCACTTTTTCTTGCCCATCTTGGGCTAAATCGAGCCTCAAAGGAAGAGGAATAATAGAAGAAGTAGAAGAATTCACCCCATGCCTGACCTTCCTACTTTTGATTTAATGTAAAGTTGAGAAAAGGGCTAATATAGCAGGCTGGCAGGTTGCCAAATCTGGGTTTTCTGTCTACTTTAATTTAAATCCAGTTGGCTTGGGTGGCCCTGGTCCCCAATATTAGCACCCACTGGTTGCCCACTAAAAGTGTAGGTAACCCCAAGAGCATCAAGGCCAACAGTTGCTTTTGATGCCTGTCCAAATTCACCACCACACCCAAACTCTGACTCCCAGGTGAAAAAATTTGAGCCTCTGTTCATTTCTCCTCTGCCACATTAGCTGTGGGCATATTTTCTCTAAGAGAGTATGAAGAATGCATGTTAAAGATGATTTCTCTAGCCCTTAGGGTGATTTTTTTTCTTTTGGGAGGATTTTTCTGGAGGTCAGATGTCCAAGATGGTGAAGTTCTATTTTTAAGATTTATCCTGAAAACAAGATGCCTCCCCAAGGCCCAGGAGTTCTGCCTCAGGCTTGATCATTATTTTTTCCTATAAAAATTTGCCTACAATTTGGCCAGAAAAAAAAATATGATGGAACTTAAATATTTTTGCAATTTAAAAAAACCCAAGCCTAGAGAAATTCACATAGATTATATGGTGGGAAAATGGTATATGTTTATAACACTTTTCACAATTTATACATGGCAAAGCTGTTTATCTGCAAGAGGGAAAATGACATGCACCTTTACTTCTTCAGGTGCCCTGAATTTCAAGGTTTAAAATAGTTCTTTGTAGCACCTCCCTGGGATTTTAACAGATGCTTCAGGCTATTGGTAAACTTAAAGAGACTTAACAAGAAACTTCAATGCACCATTTTCTTTTAATCTGTGTGCATAGTTGTTTAGTTATGGCTGGCTTTAAACCATCCAAAAGCTGGAAGCATTTTAAATCCTATTTGTTTCTTGAGTGGACTATTCATTAATGAGCTTATCTGCTTGGTTTCTTCTGAAGTTAAATCTTATTTCTACATCTACTTTTTCTAATGACTTACATTTTTGCTTTCATTTCTTGGGCAAAATTTGATTTGTTGGCTTGTTAGTTTTACACTGCCCAGAGTTTAGAGTTTGTTTTAAAAACATATTTTAAATGTTCCCAAGCTCAAGATACCCTTAACTTGCCTCTTTCATGAGGTACATGCTCCAAGTGTAGAGTTATTTTTCTTCAAGATACTGTTAAGGGCTAATAGCATGTACCCAACGCTACTCCAACTATCCTCACCACTGTATGCTCCTGCCCACAAAAAATAAACTTGTTCTTCTTATTGTCATAAAAGGCTCAAAAAGACTTTTAAAGTACTTTCATTAGATTGTCGGGTCATAGCCCTCTGTTCTCGGTTCTTAGTGTGCTCTTGGCCAAAGAATGTCCAGACACACTGAAAGCAAGGCAAGCACAAAACAAAGTTTATTGAGGAAGGACAAGACAGGTTTACAGAGCAAGAGCAAGAAACCTTCACCATAGATGACAACACCCACCCCCCACCCCACGCCCCTGCTTGTAACAAAAGGGCTCTGGTTATGGTCTCAGGTCCTGTTTTACAGTGTCAGAATTGGGCCCTCCTTGTGTTTCAGATACAACCACTGAACCACTCTGATGGACAATTAATGGCAAGATAATTAGCATTAGGTTAGTCTAGGTCACTTTGCAGATCCTATTGTACCTGGGCTGCTGAGCCCTGAAGGCTGGGGAATTCCCTGCATTCTTTAGCAGATAAGCAGGGGCTCCTCCTTCCCTCACAGGTGGCAGATTTTCAGGGCAGGATTAAGGTGGGGCAGCACCAACACACCTGCCCTTGTCAGGTAGGGCAATTGCTAGAGGCAGCACCATGGCGAGACACCTGCTTTTGTCCCTAGGAGAATTAGAGGCCCCTTGCTATCTACCTAACAAGACCATTTCTCTCCAAGAATTCTGCTAGTATGCCTTTTCTTTAGAGAGACTCACAAGCACCTATGGATTTGCAGGGCAAAACCCACCCTCAGCTCACAGTTTCATGTCTGCTTCCATATGGAGAAAGCCATCTTCACACATCTCCAGGGAGTTCTCTTCCAAACCTTACAGCCCAAGTCATCTCTGCCCGCAACCTGGGCTCTCCTTCTCAGTTCTGCTTTCTGATGACTCCCCTGAGCCACTTCTCGGAAATAATTCCACCTGCCCTTATATCCAGGGTGCAGTGGGGGGAGGTGGCAGTTATAGATTCATTCACAGGAGCATAACCCCGCGTTCCTTTATTTAGTTATCCTCCTGATTGGTTTCAGAAAAGGTTGGAGGTGACTGCACAACCTCCCCCCAACCCCCGCCAAGAGCAATATAATTAATATTTTTCAGTCACATTGATTTGAAGAAGGGGAGGGATAATTAGACCCCCCAAATCCTTCTGTCCTTGTA